TCTTTCCCAAGTAATGATGCAATGTTTTCTACTGTGGAAACAAAGTGAGATAACTAATGGAAAGTACCGAGTACAAGGCTTGCTGAATAGTAAACATTCAATAAATTATGCTATTGTTCTTCCACAAGTTCAAGGAAGGCAACCACCAGCTGGGTGGGGTGTGTCTGTATGGACCTTCCTGGCTGCTTCGTAGAGGTTACATCAGGAGACGTTCATTGTGTTGGGAAAATTTCCTGGGCTTCGTGCTTTTCCTGGTTTTTATAGGCTCGGGACCTGGATATTTTGTCAGCACTTTGGGAATGGCTCCACTTTTCCGAACAGCTTCATTAACCAAACTCATAAGACTAGAATCAAAACCAGAATCCTTGTTCAGTCACAGACGATAAGAACACGATGGATTGAGGCGCTAGCACCGTTAGAGTATTTTCTCCAGGAATGAGAACAAGGGGAGTTTTCACTTATATACATGTAACCTAATAGACTTAATGTCACCTAATAGATTGATTTCACAGAAAAGACTAGTTTGCCAGTAAGCCTAGGCAATTCCAGAAAGGCAATTACTTGGACAGAATTAGGACAGGTAATGTTTGTGACACTCGTTTTTTGATATGTTTACAGTTAATGACTTTCTCTTTTTCAATTTTTTTGTTTAACTTTTTATTAGGGAGATTTGGAAACATAAAAATCCACAGTATATGATAATGAACCCCCACGTAGCCATCACCCACCTTCAGTCACTATCCACACACAGCCAGTCTGCATTTTTATCTATGTCCTCATCCACTTCCCCCACTTCCTGTATTGGTGTTTGAAGAGAATTCCAAACATCCTGATTGTTTGAAAAGATGTTTTATCAAATCAAGTCCAGCAGGTTTGAGAGCCATTTTTTTTCTTTTCTGGCTACTTTAGATAATCACTCCCAGGGAGTGATTTTTGAGTTCTTGGCGGAAGCCTGTGTTCTGACAATTACCATTATCATTAGGTACAGTACATTCCAGTTACTTTGATCTTAATTACTCAGGAATAGCATCCTGAAACATCACTAATGGACTAACCTGTGAAGCAGAAATACCAAGCCTTCTGTGTGCTGTGGGGTGTGTGTGTTGGGGGGAACAGGGGTGATCCCACATGCAGGATCCCTGGGTGGGGGTCTAAGAATCTGCATAGTTCACATGGTCCCAGGTGATTCTGCCCATTGAAGCTGGGGAAACACAAGCCAAGAACCTGGGTAGGCATTGCTCAGCCGTAGGTTTCAAGCCAGGGTGCTGAAAAACTGGAAAAGAGACTTTTAGAAAACCAGCTGCATTTTTCTAATGCTTCTCCCACCCCTCCCTCTTGCTGACTCACATCTTACTGGGTCAGAGACCATGAGGCTGGAATCTGGTGTTTCATGGTGGCTATGTCGGGTTCTGCAGGACAAAGTGCATAAAGTTGTAAAGAATTATGGGCTGCTCGGAAGTCACCAGCTTTCAGGTTTCTGGCTGTGTTCCATGCAGTTGTGGGTGCTGCAAATCTTACCTAGATAAGTGGTGTTCACACACACATACACACACACAAGCATATAACCCACACAGTCCAGGTGCTGTATTTAGAATAATTCTATATAAAGAAGTTTCTAGAAATGTCTCTTAATATCGCCATTCTACTGGGATAAATTACTTTCTTTTTAGGGACCAATTTCAACATGTGTGGGATATACACAGCTAACCTCAGTGTGTATCCTGCTCACATGGTAAGCCTGAAAATAACTCCCATTTTTTATTTCAAGCTAGTTAAGATTTCCTTGTTTTGGAGAAGCTGTATTCCTCTTCCCCAGGCTAGGAGTTAGATTCTAGAGTCTAGAAGAAATTTGGGGAGCTGTTTGTCGGTGAAGGTATGTACACACTGCCATTTAATTCTGTGTAGTTTGTGCATATGGCTGGTGCCAAGGTAACTTCCCCTGGTGTGCTGTGACTCATTTGGCACACCATAGTTGACTCATTTAAAAAAAAAGTGATAAATCAGAAGAAGTACAAGATTAGATTAATTTAGGACTAAGGAACTCATAACCCCTGTTTTGCAGAAAATGTGCTGTAGCTAAATCAATTTTAAAGAGGTAGGTAACATAAAAATGCTTCTGTTTGTTTTAAAAGATAAACAAGCTTTGTTTGAAGGTGTTGGCTGCAGGATCCAAGTGCTGTTCGCCCTTTTGAAATTTGGGCTTATTTAAAAAATAAAAAAGTCCTGGAAGTGGTATCTTCATTTGCCTAGTCAAAGTTCAACCCGATGACTGGACTAAACATCAGCTCAGCGTTGATGTTTGTTTTTAAAATATATGACATCATCCGTTTGCTCAAGTTCTTTTTGTCACACAGCTTCATTTAAGAAGAGCTTACCACAAGAGGGAGCTGGGCCATGAAGAAATCAATGGGTTGTTCTGGAACTAGAAATAAAAACGGGAGTGCAGGCGATTCAGAGTGAGACCACCAGTATTATCGGTTATTTTTACAAGTGATTACTCCATTCTTTTTTTTGAGATTTTTTTGGGGGAGGGGGTTTGGGGGAGAGGAATAGCATTGGGGAATCAGGGAAGGCGAACAGACAAGTTGCTGTCCTTTTGTTCTTCAGTCTAGTTGTGGAGGACGTCGCTTCACTGGCCCATGTTGGCATTATTGCGCTTTTCCCCGGGTGAGGCAGTCACTTGCTGGCCATTGGATGGCTGCTCACAGCGACTCACAGCAGCTCACTGCAGCAGGGCCTGCAGCCTACGCTGTTGCCGGTGACTCAACGGCAGCCCAGGTCCAGGTCGAGCTGTTGTTCACCATCTTCGCTGTAGAGGGCAGCGTCACTGGCCCTCATGTGGGATCCGTACCAGGGCCCTGCTGCTCAGAGCTGGCGTCCCAAGCCAACTCTTAACCAACGTGCCACTTGGCTGGCCTGATTACTCCATTCTTTTAGTTGCTCAGACCAGTTGCTCAGAGAGTCGGCTTTGATTCCTTATTTCCCAATGCATTAAGCATTTCTTTTTATTCTCAGACTTTGACATCTGGGGTCCTGCTGACCCTGGGCTACCAATTCCTGGAAACAGCAAACAACTCATTATCTTTCATATACCCACCTGGCAACCAGGTTCTTCTTCTTCTTTTGTTTTGTTTTTTAAACTTTATTAGGGAACAGTGTGTTTTTTCCAGGACCCATCAACTCCAAGTCAAGTCATTGTTTTCAGTTTAGTTGTGGAGGGCGCAGCTCATTGGCCTATGTGGGAATCGAACTGGCAACCTTGGTGTTATGAGCCTGCACTTTAACCACCTGAGCCAACTGGCTGCCCCTGCAACCAGCTTCTTTATAGGCTCTTACACTCTTTATAGGCTCTTACAGCCAGGTACCAGAGAGCTAAAGGCAACCCCTACACCCCAGAGCCCGTGGAAATTATGCAAACCAGCCTATCCTAAAGCCACTTGCTGTGCCTCCCTTCCTTCCCCGCAAAAGCCTCAGTAAAGGCACTGGCCCAGATTTCCCCTGCCCCCTCTGCCTCTTGACTGTCCCTGGTGTTTCTGTGTAGAGCCCGAGGCTTGGTGTGCCCCCCTCCTCTTGGGAACTGTAACTACCTTTTTAATGGCCCTTGTCTCCCGATCCATTGGCCTCACCATAACTGAATAATAAAACCTACGTTTTCCTTAACCCCATATCTCAGCAAATTTTGCCATCTCTGCCTGTGTGGTATATCCAAAATTCAACTGCTTCCCATCACCATCACCCCTTTGGTCCCACCCACCATCATTTTGTACATCCTGTTTTCACTTGGGTCCTCACCCCCCACTCCAGTCTATTCTCCACCTGTTAAGAGCCAGAGTGATGCTGTAACACAAGGAAGGCAGGTCTTAACCACTCTTCTGTTCAGAGCCCACCAGTGGAAGGACTCACAGCAATTAGAATGTCAAAAGCATGTTGTGGACCTGCAGTAAACTAAGTTGGACAAAGCTCTTTTGTTTTATTTTACATCATTGGTTGACCTCCCATTGCACTCCAGGTTAAAAACAAAGTCCTTCAAATGGCTTTGGGGGCCCTACAGAATCTGATTTCCTCGCAGTTCCCTCTGAGCACGTCGCCCAAACCTCCCTCCTCACCAGCCGCTCCACTGTTCTTGAGCACTCCATTCAAGCTCCCCTCAGGGCTTGGCTCCTTGCAGCTCCCCACCCCCTTTGTGCTCTCCCTTCTCAGTGAGGTCTCTCCGATCTTGCCCCCGCACCCCTCTCCCAACACTCCTTACCCCTCTTCTTTGTTCCATGGCACTTACCTGGCACACACAGTCATTTCCTGGCTGATTCACCACCAGTATACTTGAGAAAATGTGAGAGCCATAAGGCAGGGACTTTGTTTTTGTTTTTACTGATGTGTTAATGGCCTACAATAGCGACTGCTAGATGGTAAAGCTTAAGAAATACATGTCAAATAAGTGAGCAAACTGAGAACATGATTAAAAAAAAAAAACAGCTACTCTAGTTCAATCATTCTCACCTCAAATATTTGGAGAATGCTTTGTATGCATCCAGGAAGATATACTTGCTGGTCCCCCAAAGCTTGTCATCGGAGGGCAAAGTGAGCTAGATGTTTCAGTCATTAAACAATCGAGACTGTGTAGCCTGTAGCCTGATTGGGCCTGTCAATTCCCATGGGGTGCAGAGGAGAGAGACCAATGAGGGCCCGTCTTTTTGTTTTGCATTCCCATCCTCCAGATATTTTCCCTCATCCTCTCATTTACTTCAGTGCCCTTAACATTTGTGTCATCAATCAGATACTCTTGGATATCTTGCTCATTTTTCTGGAGTTATGCAAGCTCCTAATCTTTCTATACCCCTCAGGTCTTACTACAATGTTTTGAAAATGGAAAATGGCTAAGGATATTTTTAAACAACTTAAAATGTAACGTTTGCTTAGTAATTTAAATATACAGGTAGGCGCATCATAACAAAAAAGTTCTGCCTTTTTGCCCTTGATGACCAAAGGAAGACAATGACAGATGATTGTATATTTTGTTTAATACTTGCATTGTTTCTATAGCGCAATTATAGCAATCTTTAAATTTACTTTTCATTACAAATATTTGTCAAGTTTTGTTTCAGAAACAGTTTTCCTACTCTCTTGCACATGCACCCAGACACACTACAAAAAACTCATTCATAACACAGTAAGGGCAAACATTATTCATGTAAACATCTTTCATTAATTTCCCATAATTTAAAAAAATCATAGAATCATAGATATTGAATAAGGCTCATAGATTTTTTTTCAAATTCCACAAAAGACCAATCAAAGATGTTCGTTAATTGTGATGGGTTAACTTTTGGTTGCAATAAATGCTGAAAGCGAACCCGACTTCCATGCCTTAAACATACCTCACAACCTCATAAATGCATTTCAGGATAAATAGAGAACATAGAAAACCCAGGAGGAAAACTTTTGAAGTAGGGAGTTCAGAACCATGAACCTAATTTCTTCCATGATAAGCAGACATTATGTAGTCCCTGTATTTCCCACTACATGAATCGAGATTAATTATAGTAACCCAAAAAGGAACCAAGTTGATGTGTTAAGTAAGATACATTGGCATGTGTGTACATATTGCTAGTATACACAGTGAAAATTTGTCAGAAAATTTATCATTTCATTATATCCAGGACCAAAGTGGAAAAAAGAAAACCCCCGCTCAAGTGGAATTTTGTTATAAAGGAGCGTTCTAGTAAACATAAGAGTCAGGAGAGTTGGGAGGCATGTTCTAGGGATGTGATTGGTCTTGGTATTAAAGTCACAGGCAGAGGAAGCAAGGATTGGCGTTATCCGAGGGCGTCTCTCTCTGGTTGGAAGTTTGGTGCTTACGTGCATAGTCTCCCAGAGCTGAGACAGGATGTACTGTGCTGACAAATAGGCCCTTTGCCAGCTGCACCCTCCTCCTTCCTCTCTGTTGAGGTGGAGGTCAGGACACAGGGACTGCTGGCAAACCGTGAAGTCCCACCCCGGGGTCTGAACCCCAACTCCACTGAGGGCAGCCTCCCTGACATGTGTGACTAGGCAGTAAGGTGGCGGTTGATGGCGGCCAGAAAACCCAGTTCTGAGGGTCACACGGCCATATCTGGCTTCTGATTCTGCTGCCCTGCAAAGAAATTGTGCTCTGGATAAATGCACCAGTGTCTCTAATGCCTCGAATACACTCGCAGGCCCTCGAGGGCCCAGAGCGATGTCACTAAAAGGTGGACACACCTCCATGAGCACCTAACTTACACCAGGAAGCGGCTGAGGCACTGGGGAAGCCTACAAGCTCTCTCCACGTCAGATGCAACAACGCAGGGAAGTTGCCTTGGGTCAGAGTTATCTGTAGGCTTTTGATTTTTAAAAATCAATATTGATCTGCATTATATCTCATTAGACTCAGTTAATTCTCACCAAAAATTTTGTAATTTGTTTAAATAGCACTGGAGTAATTCAACTTCATTTAAATATAGTCACTCTACCATGAAAATATTTCATACAAACATCTATTTACATACAAACACATTAAAATTTGTGAAAAGGGTTTCCACCCTGGGGGTTGTATGGCTTGAAATCGTTCCATTGCTTTGAATATGTATGCACACATTTGGCAAAACAAAACTATTTAAAATTTAGTATTTTTAAAATAAAGTGACACCAAAGGTCCAATTCCTGAAGGGAAAGATCAAAGAAAAAACAATCTGTCAAGGTACCTCAAGTAGATGTAAATTTAATATATTGTGAACCTTTGATCTGTGGCAAATAAACACTACAAAGATCAGTCTTGCAACATAGTTTTGCTCGTTTTTTTCTAAAACAAAAGACGTCTGGATTCTAAATCACTACTCTTAAGACAGAAACTTGAGGCAACTGTTTTAAAACAAAGCAAAACAGAAAACTATACCTTCTTGGAAGATCTTAAATGCATTTTGCAGTGAGTGATTTAAAATTTTATATTAAAGGAAAGTCGCTAAAGTGCCACACACTGTCTCACTGAGAAGACAACCCTTGAATTCACTGTTCACAGTTACTGCATTTTTAATAGTTACATTAAATGTTGTAATTGGTTATACTTGGCCTCCACATTGGCCTTTTTAGGTTGTTGGTGATAAGGAAATAGGTTTTCAAGCGCGAAGAACCCCCAGAGGGCAAATAAGTTTAACCAAGCCCCAGACAGGTTCAAAGAGGTCTTGAAAAACAAATTTCCTTCTTAGTTTCTCAGGGAGACCATGGATGAAGCAGGTTACAAGACGAATAGGTCCTACAAAACTCAAGTCTTCCTAACCTGTTGCTTTTTTAATGTCCTCGTTCCTTTGCGTCAGAAATTCAGTCCTCACAGTTGTTTTGGTTAGTCCATTCAAATGTCCATTTGGGGACGTACTTCTACAGATTAGTTCCTATTCCTAACTCTAACACAAGATAATAGTCCATCATAGAAACGCTGCTAAGGAAAGATCTAGTCATGCAGGGGTTGGGCTGAGACGGCTCTGAGTGAATCTCCTTGAGATCATGGCGTCCTGCACACTCACAGGCGCCAGCTGGTTTTGGGGCTAGCAAAAATTACGTCTTTTCTCCCCCACCACATGGAATCTTCCACATTTCTGTTGTGGTTATGATGTTGATGACACTGCCAGCTTCGGCTGCTTCCTGACATTATTTCCTTCTCCAGCAGATGTAAAGATTCAGCAGAAAAATACATCCCGAAAAAAATTTCGCCCTCAGACGTTGGCTCAGACAAGGAACACGCCCTTATTTCCTCCCCAGTTACTTCCTTAGGGAACACAACCCCCTGGACTTTCTTTTCCTACCTACAGAACACAGTGAATCTCAAGCCACCCCCCCCCCCATGCTACCCTGTGGACAAAGCCTTACATTGGGGAGTGTGTCTGTGTGTCTGTGCATGGCAAGGGGAGATCAAGAGCAGCAGAGCTAAACAGAGACACAGCAAACGGAGAGGGAAAGACAGCGAGTGTCTAAAGGGCACACAGCCAGAGAGACTAGCAAGACAGGCGCTCAGAACACGGAGGAGAGAGGAACAGAGCAGGCGCGATCAGCTGGGGGTCTTGTTACCCACAGATACGCAGGCATGCTCGCAGGCAAGAGAGAAAGGGAGGAGAGCAGGAGAAGGAAGAGAGGAGGGAGAAAGACAGAGAAAGGCTCTGCTTGGGTGTCTTGTTCTCCTTGATTTGTCTGAAGGTCACAGACACACTGGTGTGTTTTAAACTCAGAGTGTTATTCAATATCTAATCTGAAATATGGACTAGTTGGTTAATCACTCCTTACAACTCTTCAATCCCTTTTATCAAAAAATTTAAAAAAAGAAGGAAAAGTTCTATTCGAATGGGTAATTAGAGTAGCCCATCAGGACAGAAATTATACCCCACTGCAGCCCCAGCCAGAGCAATATCACCCTCAGAAATGAAATATTTGTAGCTGCATCGTAGGTGGGACCCGTGCCATCCTCTCTCTCTGACCTGACTCCACAACCCAACTGACTGGGGTTAGTGAAAGCCATCTTTCTCTTGCTAACAACTGTCACTCACTTTGGGACCCATTTGAATTAAAGCACCTATCAGAATACCAAGACTGCCCCATCTGTCACAGTTTACAGACCCGTCTCTTTCTACAGAATAGAAGCGATCCTATCCTGGGTGCCTTTTAACCTAAAAAATCTCTTCACTTCCCTTTGTGGGAGATCTTTCTGGCAGCCCTGACAACTTCTCATGTGTGAACCATCAGCTTGTCTGCCGGAAACCACTGCCACCTAGCTCCTCTAGCCCAGCTTTGCGAAAAAGAGAAGGGCTGCTTTTGTCACTGCCTTGAGGGCTGTATTCTGGGCCCAGGGGCTGCCTGAGCTGAAAGTCATGAGCAGCCCTGGATCAAGTACTTCTGTTAAATTCTTCTGAAGAGCAATGTGTAACTGACAAGAAATATCAAACTTCCTTCTGCCTGTTTCTTTACTCTTTTCTCACTCCCCGTAAGCCTTCTCTACTCAGCCAGAGCTCACCATGGGCTACAGCTTGGAAAGCTGTAGCTTTCAAGACCAAACTGGCTCAGGCGACAGGTGCTGGCATTGACACTTGAAAGCTGAAGCAACTGCTGCGCTCCAGACTTCCCAGCTGCCTCATTCAGGCATTGAAAGGAGACATAGCTACGGCAATTGGTGAGGGCGCTTACAAAAACCCCAAACTCCAGAATTCATTCAGAGCAATCCCAGTTATGTTACATACCTAATCAGCTAAACTAAAAACAGGGTTTCTCCTTATTTTAGCAGGTGTGATTACATATGGGTTGCAAAATGGCTGAAATGCTACTGATAATCATTGCTTTTAAACTATACAGGTGTTATTCTTAATTCACAATGCTCTGAAGCAGATAAGTGCTTTGAAATTACAATGATGAAGAGTTTTAGCGTTAAGGTTTGATTTGTACCTAGTGATCAGTATGTCTCTCTTAATAGTAGCGATTTAAAAAAAACCAACTTGTGAATTCTGTGTTAGAATTCAAGTTTGCTATTTGACTTTTGAATTCAATGCACTGTGCCACAAGCCAGACTGCTGTGTGTTATGTACATTTAATGTGTATGCAAGGAGAAAAAAATTACTAGCACTATTGAAGATATTGCAAAATTGCCACAGTTACTGCCTAGAAATACTAAGTTCTCTCTCTTCCTTCTTAAAGTATATATTACAACTCTTCCATAATTTAATGCAAACAAAGTAAACTCTTTCTTCTCACATCTTAAAGCAAAGATATCTTTGTTTACATGCGAGAATAATAATTCTATAATAATACCCTGGCCCTATGAGCCAGATATTTATATCAGGACATAATAATGAAGCAATGATATAGAAAGAGCCAGAGAGACCTACACACTGGCACTGACGCAAAATCCATTGGGAAGTTTTCTCTTGTAAAAGGTCTCTAAGACAGAGAACAGGACTGAGGGGTGAAGTGACTCAAAGAGTGGGGTTCTGTTTGCTAGGAAAAAGAACAAAGCCATTCTATTGCAAGATACAGATCAAAGGTTAAAAGGCAAATTATACTACATTTAGAGAATCAAAATGTAGTAATTCTCTCCTCCACATGGCACATCTGCAAGTGTGATGACAACACACTTTGCATTGACCACAGGAAAAAACATCATGGAAAAACCACGGACTAAAAATGACTGAAAAACCCCCTTTCCCTTTTTCAGTCTAATCATTTGGCATCTCTGAATGTGGTACAGATTTAGACTTGAACCACCCAAGAACATCACGCTGTCTTATGTTAAGTGCTCGACAATCCCTCTCAGTAGGACGTTGTTGCAAGGCTATATAGCTAATTTTAAATCTGGTATGAGTAATACAGTCAAACCTAGTTAGTATGCGAGAAAGTTGTTGTGAACGCAGAGCTGAGAGGATGTGATGTCACAGCACGAGTCCCTGGTTGTCCCGTTGTCGGATAAACGAAGTGCATAGATCCAAGTTTCGACTCCAGGTCTCTGAAGCCCAGAGCCACGGTCCTCACTTCTGCTGGGTGGCCTGGAAGGCCTTCAGCTCCACCTGGTACCACTCGGGGGCCTCAGGCCCACTCTTCCCTGGGGGGCTGTGGTCATAGCCGTAAGCCACGGTGAGCTCCTCATTGGCTTCCACAGCTTGGAGTGTGCGGATGCATTTGATGGACCCAAAACGGGGGTGCACAAACCTAGACATCAAGACATGCATAGTCATTCCCGGGCAGGTGAGGAGCAAAGGGGTGGGGGGAGGGGTTGAGGCAGGAATCACCCACGTACTGACACCATGGATAGGTCCTCAACGAGGGCTAACAGGAGGCCTGCCAGATTGGCATCTTTAAGACACCCCCTGATGATTCACAGGTACATTAAAGTTTAAAAAGCACTGCTCTTATCTTCCTTTTTGAACATATTTGGCACTCTGTATTTATAAACCAACAATCATGGTCAACTGTTGCATTATAGCCGATTCCGTTACCACCCCCCCTGCATTAGCCTCTGACCCATTAGTCGAGAGAGTGTCTCAGAAAACTGAGGCCGGATGGAACATATCTGTAAAAAGCTCTCTCGGGGAGTGGCTCATGACTGGGACCTATTGGAATGCTAATAGTTATCTCCTCTGGGAGGACACAGTAACAAAGTGTCTTGGGGCTATGTGGAGGAAGTGTGAAGGCATAGGATATGCTGGAACACAATGGGAATGTTAATGGAAAAGGTCTTAAGGCACACATAAGTCACACGGTTGCAAATTGATTGACAGCAGTTTCACTTCTTTACAAACTACTCAATAAAAGCCATGCGCTGACCCGATTCGGGGCTCACTCAGTCTTCTCTGGCTGAGTCCCTTGGTCTCGCTCTTAATCTTACTTTTGTCTCTTGCTCTTATTCAATCTGCGTTGCCCCTTAAGAGAAACCTATTTGCCCTTGCCACGCTGGACGTGACAGTCAACGTCAAAAATCTGTCCGTAATGAGAAATGGGACCCAGGGCAGCCCGTCAGTGTAGCCTCGGATTACCTGGCTGCACCTGAGGGGGTGGGGGTGGGGCAGGGGAGGCTCTACCAGGGCACTTTTGGAGTTGTAAGCAAGAGCCCTGCGGATTTCCAAAAGCACACATCTCTGTATTCCGTCCTGTACAGATAGAGGAAATATTCCCTTTTAGCGAAAACGTAGGTGCAGGTTTCTCTTCAAGAGGGAAGTCTAGGCCCCTCTGCCAACCTGCTTCTTTAATATTTCCCTGTGAAGCATCCCGTGAAGGGGGCAGCCTCTTACCCTGTAAGGAGTCCTCTCAGAAGCAGAGGCAGGGCTGTCACTATGTATATTCCTCTGCCAAAGGCCCCTAACCCGGCTCACCTGCGCAGCTCCCTTCAGGAGGACACGAAATAAATAAGTAATGGACTCAGCTACCCTAACAGCTGCTGAAACCCAAAACGGGTGTAAGGCGTGGCCAGAAGGAAATGTGCTTTATTTTTATATGCATCTGGTCAAATCAGTCTCATTCATTTATTGTCACGTTTTTAACAAAAGGCATGAGACACCAAAGGAGAAGATTCCAGGCCCAAAGTATATTGGTCCACGGGGCAAGAGTCAAGTCCTTGGCTGGTTCCCTCTAACAGGGGTGGGAAAGGAGTATGTCTGGGGCTTAGGAACATCTTTTATGTGGGGTTAAAAGGAACAACGTCATCCTCACTTCAAGCGGGTCTCTATGTCCACCCTACTCCGGGGTCATGATTCCCCGAAAGCATACTTGAGTTTGGGTCAGAAGACTTTAGGGGCGGCCAGTTAGCTCAGTTGGTTAGAGCACAGTGCTCATAACACCAAGGTTGCTGGTTTGATCCCCACATAGGCCACTGAGTTGAGCTCTCCACACCTAGATTGAAACAATTACGTGGAGCTGATGGGTCCTGGAAAAACACAGTTACCCAATCAAGTTTTTTTAAAAAAAGACTTTAATGTGAGTCCTGATTCCACACGTGATCATTGCCGCCTCTTGGAAAGCTTGGAAGGCTCACCCTGGCATCTATGTCTGAATCTCAGTTTCCTCATCTGCAAAATCATAACCCTAGTCACCCTTATCTGACAAGAGTTGTTGTGACAAAATACAGTCATATATAAAGCACCTCACACAGTGCCTGGCACAAAGTGAGAACTCAATATTAATTACTATGGTGAGAGAACGCAGTTGTGTGTGAGAGAGAGCATGCACGTGTGTGAGTGCGTGCTCATGCATGGAATTCACAGGTTGTGCTCCATCACAGAGGCGATCCCTGGATCAGGGATTCAGGAATTCCTTATTAAAATCACAACTCTTTGTCTCTAAATTAAAACAGTTGATTAAAAAAAAAATACTCCTGAAATGGAGCTCTAGTTAATCTACTGGTACACTGAAAAAATTCCCATGAGAGGCCTGAGGATTCTCTTATAATCCTTTTGTATTTTCATTTTTCTGCTCATTATCATGACTTTCAGAGAGTAGAAAATGGACAGACTGAAAGAACTCAGTTTCAGGTATAGGCTCTTCAAGGCAGTGGGCGATAAGACACAGCAGTTTAGAACAACAGTTAGCCTGTTTAAAAGACCAGCGATTCCTGTCTTTGACCTGGGATAGTGACAGGAGTTGCCCCACGGAGCTCCTGGGAGGACTGAGTGAGAACGCGGGAGAAGCACCACACTGGCCTAGAGTAAGTGCGCAGCAAACGTTACCTTGTCGACATGCTACTATATTTACAACCAGAAAAGCTGTTCTTGTCTGCTTGTCCATTTGGCAGTTTGTACCAGACTGCAGTTAAAACAGCTTACCGAGGTGTTGTTTGGGGTGTGTTGAGTGTGCATAACAATACCAATGCTTTTAGAAACAAATAAATGCCCTGAATTGGTCTCTTAATTTTATATTTGATTATCCTTCATGTGGTCTTCCCATTGCCCCAAATAACTAATTGGTCACATTGGACTATAAGAAATAACCCTGAAGAATACGGGGATTTGATTTTACACAAATGGCTCCTTCTCTTGTGTCCTGTGCTCTCTTCTTTTCGGTGAGAAAAATCATGTCCTTACAGTGACATGACAGAGCTGATTCGTTTTGAAACAGCAGTCTAAGTAGCATGCATTATCATCCGTTACCCCTGCGTTAAAGGGCTGTTGTTCAGCTGGGTGCAGCTTGGAACCATGCGCTGGCCTAATTCACATTGGCCATGAAAGCCTTGGCGTTAATAACAGTGTCAGTTTCATTTCACATGACACACGTCCTTTGCCATTTCTACCCGCCCTTTAAACAGAAGTTGTCGCTTCAGTACTTGTTACTGCCTGCCAAGGAGAGCAAGTCACTGCCAGAACAATTTTTAAGCTATCTCAGGGATGCAAAAAGGGGCCGTCAAATCCTGGCAATAGTCCTTCAGATTACGTGCACATGATCTGATCCTGCTTATGTTAACAAGCTAGAGGACGGAGGCACTGCAAGCTACAGCTGAGCAGGCAAGGCTGCACTCAGCTCCCTGGGTCCCAGGAAGAGCTGGCATTCTCAGGATGAGCTAAGGACAGCAGTGATGACAGGACAAAAAATCCCAACTGCATCCTTTAGTCAGAGATGCTGACTTTGGGAAGAGAACATTCAGCGGGCACATGAAAACTACTAAACCATTTGGAGGCCTAGTAGGTGGAAGAGAGCTTGACATAGAGCACGAGGAAGGGAGATAATTAGAGCTGGGAGGGACAGGAAAACCCATTTGGGCTCAATAAAAAGAACTCTCTAATCATCAGAGCCCAAAAGCTAATTTCATAATATTTATTTCAGTTTGTCCAGATAGCCGCCTTCGTGAATGAGAGTAAGCTCCCCATCAATGGAGGTTTCCAAAAAGAGGTTCAATGAACAGTTGGAACCGGCGCCACAAACCACGAGAGGGAGGTAGGGTTATTTGATTTTTTAAAAAATAACAGCTTTGCTGAGATATAATTCACATATCATAAAATTCACCCATTTAAAGTGAACAATTCAGTAATTTTTCAGTGGTGCAACCGTTCACCACTATCTAATTTTGGAAACTTTCATCATCCTCAAAAGAAGCCCCATACTCATGAGCCATTCACCCCCATTTCTCCCCACTCCCCCCAACTCCGGGCAACCAGTGATCTACATTCTGTCTCTATGAATGTGGCTATAGTGGACGAGTCATATAAATGGTCTTTTGTGGTTGGCTTCTTGCACTTGGCTTATGTTTTCAAGGCTCATCCATGTTGTAGCAAGTGTCAGTACTTCAGTCGTCTTTATTGTCAAATAATAGGGACTTTCTGATTTTACTGGTCTTTTCCGACACCGAGGCTGCGTGCCCTGTGCTTAGGATTTTATTTTCCTCCTTCCTTTCACCTCATAAAAGGGTTCCCTCAACTCCACTACGCAGAGTAATTTCAATGTTTACTATTTCAAATACCACTGATCTTAATTTTCCAGACTGAGACAACTGAAGGACAGAAAAGGCCATAATAAAACAGTAATCACTAAGTATGGTATTTCCATAGCATTTCTACTCTTGAAAGCACTTTCCCATTTCTTAGCCTGCCAAGGCCAAAGAGTGAGGCTGTTTAGATTCTGAGTTTCAAGTCATAACAGTGAGACCCCTGGCAGGGGACCGTTGGAGATTCTAAGGGAGCAGCCTCATCTGGGGCAGGATAGCACCTTTCACAAACCCCCCTCCACCTCAGGGTCCCGAGGCCCAGATCTGCCTAGCAGCTAAGTGTCACACTTACATGTCGTAGGTACAGTTTGGAGTGAAGGAGTGATTCGCCTTGTGTCCCAAGGAGGCACAGTACTTGGACACGTGGTTGTAGGGCTCAGGCACATCAATAACCGTTTCTTCATCAAGGGAGAGGGTGTTACCATTAAGGGCCCAGTCTCTGCTGTCAACCTGCAAAAAAAAAAAAGAAAGAAAGAAAGAAATGTGAGCATTAGAGGGGACCTTTCTCTCAAAAGCTCAAAGGACATCAGATATATTTAACTCATTTGTCCTTGAACTTCACGGTTTGAGTGCCACAAACATGTAAAGAGCCTAAGACATCTCTCCACTGTTGATGGTGCAAAAGACATGTGGCCATCAGTGGGGAGCTCAACTTATTATTTATTGATTTTTTTTCCTTATATAAAAAAAAGGATTAAAAATGCCTTACAAAGACACCCAAAAATATAACCAGACATCCCGAGGTTGTTTATTTCTTTGCTGCAGGCTGAGAACTGTGACCTCAAAAGTCCACCAGCACCAAATGCAAATTTTTACACATCCGGTTGTTTTTTGAATAGCCCAAACAAAGCAGTTTCAGCCATTTAGGGGCTGCTTTCAAGGGGACACGTCACTCCCCAGCTTCCAGCAATAGCTAAGACAAACCAGGACCAGCTGCTGTTCCTTGGAGCTCTCAGGCCCATAAACTCCTCATCAGGCTCCATGTCACCGACATGGAAGTCCCCTCTCTGATCCCTCTCTTTCTGGGAGTTCCCTGCCCGCCTCCCTTGTGGATGATGCCATAAACCTCTGACCAGTCTCATACTGGGCGGACATCCCCACTCGTGCACCCTGTCCAAGCCCTACCCCAAGCTTGCTGTGTGCTACTGCCTCTCGGGGTCATAGCGTTTTCTTTGATCAGTCCCCAAATCCCTGGAACCCCTACAGTAAGGAAAAGGAGGCAAAAGAAAAACAAAAGAACCAGAAATATAAGGAATGCTAAACTGCCCTCCAGGAAAGGCCCACATTTTTGTTACAGGTGGGCAATCACTGTGACCAGCACAGTCACCGATTACCGGGTCGCTTTCTTATCTAAACAGGACTCACTATCTGCAGTGCAAGCAACAGGCTTCCCTCCTCCAAACCACAGCTCCACTCCAAACCACACCCCAGGGGCTGCTGAAGCCAGCAGAGCAGACTTTTGGAGCCAAGACGGTCACGTTTTCACACAAAACTGTTGACTTTCAGAGGTATACCATCTTTCCCATCTCTAAATTATATTTAAGCTGTTATGTGTATGTGATATTCATTCAAGAGATACTTACTGAGTGCCTACTGTGTGCCAGGCACTGTTGTAGGTCTAGGAATAGAGCAGTGATGAGAGTGAAAAAAATCTTATGGATCTTAATATTCCAGACCTGTCTCATGATACTGATATGTGTGTAGCACTTGGCGCCATCTACCTTATGTTGCCATTAGTTGCGTATTCTTATCCCCTCAACAGAATCTAAATTTTATAAGGACGAGGAAGCCTCATTCATTTACACAGAGCCAGATTCTACGTAAAACCCTGCTCAGACTCTGCGAGTTACTGTATTTGGCCTTGGGCAAATTGCTTACCCTCTCTGGGCTTCCATTTCCTTATTGGGAAAATATTGGAATAAATAAATTGTATATCAATATCCTGAGCCCCCTTTCATATGCTGAATTTCTGGGGCTTCCAGGATTGCTAATCCAGAGATCTGGTCATCACAAGGGGACACTGTATGCCAGGCCACAGCTCGGTTTGAATGTGTCGCCATCTTTGTGTGACTGCTTTGAATGTGCAATAACTTAATTATTTCACGGCATTTCCCCCCTTATCACTCCATGGCAGTAAGTGAAAAGTGAGGACGTGAATGTGGGGTATGAATGATAAGTTTAAATCTCATCTACTCAATACAAGTCAGAGCAGGATGGCGAGCATAAGCTATGCTAGAAGCATTGAACTTTCTGCCCTTAAGCAGATACTTAAGGGAGTTAATTGTGAAGGGAAGAAACGACAACAAAAACAAAATATGAAATCTAGGAAATACAACAAAGATTGTGTCTTAAAGGCAAGAAGTGATTTGACTGTTTAACTTTTTATTTTAAATTATTTTTTGGCACTAGAACCCTTCCTGACTAGATGTAGGCAATTGTATAGCTTTTGCACAAACAGGGGGTCTTCTTATGATGCGTCCTGCCCCAGGTCAGAAATTAGTTGTTGTCTAAGTCCAACTGGATCTCAATTTTTCAGACACTAGGTGTATAGTCCAGTACAAAGCAATTACTGTCTCATTGACAGCACCATCCCACTTTCTATAAAACAGTTGTGGGACTTTTTAAAAAAGCATTTTAAGGCTCAAAATAAGGAGGAAAATATTGGCTATAAACTGAATGTTTGTTTCCCCCCAAGATTCACATGGTGAAACCTAACCCCGATGTGATGGTATTCGGAGGTGGGGCCTTTGGGAGGTAATTAGGTCATGAGGGCAGAGCCCTCATGAATGGGATTAGTGGGTTTATAAAAGAGGCCCAGAGAGCTCCCTCAGCCCTCCTGCTGTGTGAGGTTACGGAGAAAGAGGGCTGTCTATGAACCAGGAAACGAAGGGGGCTTTCAGCAGACAGGGAGTCCACTGACACCTTGATCTTGAACTGCTGAGCCTCTAGAACGCTGAGAAATAAATTTTTGCTGTTCATAAGCTACCCAGTCCACGGTATTTTTGCTCTAGCAGTCTGAAGACTGCTATAAGACAATATCCAATCAATTTTACAAAATAACCTGTTTGTCTTTTTACATTTCTAAGGAATATTAAAATAAAGGGACTAATGAGAAAATTAAGGGTGTTTGAAACAAAGCCCTTTAATAAATGAAGTTGGTTTTTCACTTCTACCCCACTTACCTCTTGGTGTGTAATTCGGACTCCATTATAAAAAGACATAACAGTATTAGGTCCCACTGCTACCTTTGAAAATAGTCCTTCTCCGGCACTGGAAATGAGAGATTCAGCAACATAAACCCTAAATAGCAAAAAGAGTCAAATAATGATTCTTTAAGTTTGATATGTGACTTCTTACACCAACCAGCAAAATAACATTATGGCTGTTAAATCCAAAATGTCATTTCATAATAATCCAATGAGGAAGAAGGGAGAGAGGGAAGGAGGAAGGAAGAAAGAAAAGTGAAATATTTTGGCACTAGAAACTGAAGAACAGGTACTTATGTCTCTTAAGAGTGATGTTCAAAATTTGTTCTCTAATAAGAGGGTGATTATGGTACACTCATAAAGCAACTCGGTGCTTGATACAAGGTTTTAAAAATTTTATGTTTTTAGTTAATGTCAATTTTCACTGTCTTCCTACACAAAGAAAACATTTTCCAAAGCTAGTTAAAGTGATACCCAGGTTTGTCAGTGCCAAATAGGAGGGAAAAATTGTTTTAATTAAGCCCCAAGATGAATCTTTTATGTGAAAGAGTGACAAATAGTTAATAAAATGCATCCAAGAAGCACTTCCTAACAAAGGCGTGTATAACAGGTCAGCTGACTCGGGCCCAGGGGGCATATCTGGCTACTGCCCATTTTTGTAAATAAAGTTTTATAGGAACACCGCCAAACCTATTTGTTTAGTATTGTCTATGACTGCTTTCATATCGCAAAGGCAGAACTGAGTAGTTGCAATAGAGACCCACAAAGCCTCAAATTTTTACTATGTGGCCCTGTACAGACAAAGTTTGCCCACGACTTGTTTTACAAGAAAACAGCACTCGTGATTATTGAAGTGGATTTAACAAGGGAGCACATCCTCCATCAAAAATTTCCTCTTGGCACTGTGATGTGATGACTCTAGTGGAACTGGTCATCTGTAATTTTTGTTACATGGATCTTATGCTTATGCTATGGAGTGGAAGACTGAATTATTGCTTTCAACTCTTTACTCCCTCCCTGTGATAGAACTATACATCCTGCCACTTTGCCATGTGGCCTTGTGGTTTCTTCAGCGCTAGCAGAGGATACATACATCCCTGACTGACTGACTTTGAGCTTGGTTGTATGATCTGCTTTGCTATTAGAATGTGGGCAGAGTGACTGCATGCCAGGTCTCAGGCGTTAAGAAGCATGGCAAGGCTCTGCCAGCCACCTCCAGGGTTTTCATTCATCTCCTCAAGGAGAAGATGGCCCAGGGGGCTGTTGCTCCTTTAGCCTGAATTTTGGAATGAGACATGTGAAACAGACCTGAACCCACCTTGAAGCCTGGAGCCCAGCCTAGTCCAGCTGAGCTGAGCTGAGCCCAGTCAAAAGTGGCTGAGCCTCAGCCAACCTACAGAGCCATGAGTGTAAACTAAAAGGTTTGCATTATAAACCACTGATAGTTTTGAGGATATCGTTATACATCATCATCACAGTGACAGTAACAAAAAAGACATACGTACAGTGATGATACTGTTGTGTTTCAGGGCTCACAAGAGACCAAACCCATCCCTTTATAAATGGGTCATAGCCTCCTGTCAAGGAAGAGGCTATCCTCTCATTGTGACACGGTGGGGTCAACCATGTCAGTTGAACCAGGGAAGAGGCCTATTTCTTGGATGGGAGCAGGGCAGAAAGTGAATGGAAGCCATGCTTCGTAAGCCAGGCTTACAAAGAGTGAGGCCAAGAGGAAACTATTGGCAGACGGTCTCTTACTCATCAGTAGGCCAGTTGCTAGGGAATAAGAACCCCAGGAAAGCACCAGAGAAGCCATAGGAAGAATCAGGAGCTGAGTTTAGAGGAGACAGGAATTGGAACAAGACTTTGACACTCGGGGAGTCAGCTTATACAATCAGACACTTGCAATTCATAAGCTGGAATGTTGCTATGCTTTTCATATTTTCTTCGTTTCACTCCTGTTCTCCTTTAGTGAATCAATTGTCTTGCGTTCCAGACTCCCTGGGCTGAGTAGGAAAGAAGGCATTCTGCTCCCTGCCCAGGTTAGAGCTTTGGAGAGTGTGAAATGCTCCCCTAGAAGCCAGCATGTGGCTACAGCACAAATGGTGGCACCAGAGCATAGAGAAAGGGGACCCTGGGCGGGGCACAGCTGGCTGTTTATGTAGAGATTTCATTCTAGGATGAACACACAGGCTGTTCTGTGCTTTCTCGGTGGAGAAACTCTCTTCTAGGGACTGTTTTTATTCTCATAGAGAATCTTTCTTCCTCAAAACATATGAACATGTTTTTCTGGTAAGGAACTCGGCCTGAGCAGAGAGCCACAGAGGACCATAAGTTCCCACCACCAGGGTTATTTAACCTCACACAAACAGTGCCATGAAAACCACAAGGAAAAACATTACCTGTCTGCTTCATACGGGTCTGGAAGAAGAGCACTGGTAGAAATGCAAGATGAAGTTGACTTGTCGAAGTGATACACCGAACCTAAAAAGCAAACAAAAATCTCAGCCTGCGTACAGAGTTAGGGAAAAACATTTAAAACATTTCTCTTCCTGGTCTCTGTGGGAGCAGGAAAAATTAAATAACAAAAAGTGTTGATTCAAGTTATACCAACTAGAATGAAATTCTTCAGTATAAATGGACAGTTTTTAGATTTGCTCTTGAATTTTATTTTCAGGTCTTAATGAATAGCCATCAGAAGTAGCCCTTAAAATCCTATTTTTGCATTTGAATTTTCTTGATTCAAACTGTTTAAAAGATGCTTGCGTAATTAAAATTTTTTAATCAAGAAAATGCTTTGTCATGAAATTTTGAGATCTCTCTGGTCAGATCAGATTGGATAATGGTTTTAAAATCTTCTTGTGGTTTTCTTCATACTAGACACAGTCTGTAGAATCTAACCACCCAGCCCTGGCATTTGTCTCTTTCACTAAAAATAAACATTTGGCTTCACCAGAATTAAGACCAGAACTGCTCTTGATGAAGCATTTACAAAGTCATCCTATTTCTATTAAAGTGGTTCAAAAGCCAATTAGTAATTTATTCCAGAGACTACAGTCCTAGAATTAACAGCCGTCTTAAATTAACATTGGTTCTCTGCAAAGGATTAGCCTCAGAGGATCGTCCCAGAGCACAATGAAGACATATGATGCTCCAAAGGCTAACGAGTAAAGAAACAAGTTTTGGAACTGGAGGGCTTGCTTCTGCAAAGCAAATTATTTTAGGCACTAAGGCATCACAAATAATTCCATCAAGCAATTCCTTAGAGGTTCTCAGTGGTTACCAACTCCTCTTGCTTTTTTTATACAATCAAAACCCAAATTAATGTTTCAAACTAAAAGTTAGAAAACAAGCCAGTCAGTGTCTAACTAGGAAACAGACCATTTGAGTATTTTAGAGAGAGCTGAAATCAGGAAATTGGTTACAGAGAGGACGAAAGAGCTGAGAAGCCAGGCGGGGCAGTGAGGAGTCCAGAAACTGGCAAAAGCAGGAAGCCGTAACCCTAAGCCAGGAGGACAAAGGCAGAGCTGGGGTTCCTGGAGCTCTAGAGCTGGGGTAGCCTGGCGAAGCTGAAAGTATGGGGACATTCCTGGTCTGAGATGAAGTCAGCAGACAGGCCACTGCTGCAGATACTGCTGGACACAAACAGGGCTTCTCCCTGCTCCCCTCTCTCTCATGTCCCTGGACAGTGCCTCCCTGTGGCCAAACCCAGACAGAAGCCAGAGGCACAGGAGCCTGGGAAATGCAGCCTGTAGGGGGCAGACCCTCCTGCAGTAAAAGCAGGGCAGGGAAAGGCAGCGGCATGCATCTGAGCACTCTGGCAATGGACTAGCTCACATTCCATTAAAGGAAGTTAGTTCAAAAAAAGGAAGAAAAACAAAAGAACAACCCCTTTTTTTTTTACAGGATCGGCTTTTAAAATTATTTTTATTACTTTTTAAATTTATTTTTCAATTGCAGTTGACATTCAATATTATTTTATATTAGTTTCAGGTGTACAGCATATGGTTAAACATTTATATAATTTAAGAAGTAATCCCCCTGATTGGTACTCACCTGGCTCTATACATAGTTATTACAATATTACTGACTATATTCTCCGTGCTTTACTTTACATCTCATGACTATTTCGTGACTACCAATTTATACTTCTTAATCCCTTCACCTTTTTCACACAGGCCCTCAACTTCACTCCCATCTGGCAACCATCAGTTTTTTTCTCTGTATCTATCAGTCTGCTTCTGTTTTATTTGTTTATTTTGTTCGTTAGAGTCCACATATAAGTGAGATCATATGGTATTTGTCTTTCTCTGTCTTATTCACTTAGCATAATACCTTCTAGGTCCATCCATATTTCAAGAATTGTAAGATTTCATTCTTTTTTAATGACCAAGGTAATATTCCATATGTACCATATCTTCTTTATCCAATTGTCTATTGATGAGCACTTAGGTTGCTTCTATATCTTAGCTATTGTAAATAAGGCTACAATGAGCATGGGGGTTTATATATCTTTTCAAGTTAGTATTTTTGATTTCTTTAGATAAATTACCAGGAGTGGAATTGCTGAATCATAAGGTCGTTCTATTATTAATTTTTTGAGGAACCTCCCTACTGTTTTCCATAGTGGCTGCACCAATTTGCAATCCCACCAACAGTGCACGAGGGTTCCCTTTTCTCCACCTCCTCGCCAGTACTTGTTTTTTGTTGATTTTTTTATGACACTCATCCTGGCAGGTGTGAGGTGATATCTCATTGTGGTTTTTTATTTGCATTTCTCTGGTGATTAGTGACATTGACCATCTTTTCATATGTCTATTGGCCATCTATATGTCCTCTTTGGAGAAATGTCTATTCGGGGCCTCTGCCCACTTTTTAATTGGATTGTTTGTCTTTTTGGCACTGAGTTGTAGGAGTTCTTTATAAATTTTGGGCATTAACCCCTTATCAGATGTATCATTGTCGAATATATTCTCCCATTCAGTAGGTTGTCTTTTTGTTTTGTTGATGGTTTTCTTTGTTGTGCTAAAACTTTTTAGTTTGACGTAGTTCCATCAATTTTTTTTTCTTTGCTTCCCTTGCCCAAGGAGATATATCAGACACACCATACTTTTTAAACAAACTTTTCTGTGGAATACACGTTTTATTGTGCAGAAAGTCTCCTATGAACTTCCATCACCTTTCCTTGGACTAACTAACACTCATCACAAATGTACTAAGTGCCGAGCACGTGTAAAGCACTGTGCTGGGGGCTGTGCAAATACAAATAGGAGTCACAGACATCTTTTCCTGCTTTCAAGGAGTTGATGCCACCTTTCCCAAGGCTTGGTTACCCTTCCTCTACTCCTGATGCTCCAGGCAAACAGAAGATATTCTTTACTTTTTCCTCCTTTTCTCTACAGTTTATACTAGGATCTTTGACTAGAATTCATTCATTGACCAACATTAATTCTAAGAGGTGAGCCAGGCCTTAAAGCTGGAATAGGAGTTAGCCAGGGACGGAATTCCTATGTGGAGATGAGGAGAGAAACAATTCCAGTCAGAGGCATGACAAAGAAATCAGCAAGAAGAAAGTAAAGACCTGAAAGCAGTTTGTGGTTACAAAAGCACAGAGAGAAAGAGGGGTGTGGGGGTAGAGGTCAGGAGTGTTTCAGGAGAGGTATTTGCATTCTGTTTTCCTCCTCCTCCCCGCCATTGGGCCAGATGGCCACATGACCCTGTAAAACCTGTTCTATTGGCTGGTCAGCATGTCAATAAATATAACTGGAAGAGACAGTTGGGGAGAGAAACAAAAGTGGCAGCACACTAAAGATTTGTGCATCGCTTCTTTTGAGTCACCCCAAACAGCCATGGTTCTTGACCCTTCTGAAACCCAAATTGTTCAACAGTCCTTAAAATAGTTGAGACCTGCCAGAATGTTGACAATGAACTCTCTACCCTACTCCCCTGCCCTGTTTTGTTTGTCTTAAGGTAGTTTGAAGAGGATGTTCATTATTTGCAACCAGGAGTTCTAAGCAAAACCATCATTCCCCTAAGAATGATCACTCTGACTTCCCAAAGTCTGTTTTTTTTACTGATCCCAAGGAGAATGTAATAACAAGAACTTTCATTATGGTGTTTTATGGTAGGTGCCAAGATCTGTATTTTATAATGAAGAAACAATTCTGAAAGGATAAATAAAAATAACTTGCCCAAAAATATAGTACAGTAAATGTTGGAGCTGAGACTCAAATTAAGTGACACTTTTTCACCCATTGTCATTATTTATTTACTTTTTTAAATTTTAAATTAAATTTATTGGGGTAACATTGGTTAATAACATTTAAGTTTCAGGTGTACAACTTTATAATATAACATCTGTACATTCCATTGTGTGCTCACCACCCAAAGTCTAGTCTTCTTCCATCACCATGTATTTGACCCCCTTTAACCTCTTCACAAATTAGGTGACTCTTAAGTTCAAGGATCTTGCCACTAAAATTGCTGCCACTTCTGAAGTTTTAAAATTTGCGTCACCCATTGGGATCCTCCCCTGGCCTGAGTCTCCTCATTTCTAAACATTATAACACCGTCTCCTTTTGGAACATACATGAAGAACATAGATATTAGAGTCTGAACTTCAATGATTACCATTTCACTTTTAAAAAACCTTTTGATTTTGGAATGATTTTAAATTTACGGAAAAGTTGCAAAGGTAGTACAGAGAGTTTCAACACCCCTCACTGTTTCTCCTAATGTTAACTTCTTATGTTACATGGCATGTTTGTCAAAATTAAGAAACCAGCATAGCTACATTACTACAACTAAACTCCAGGTTTTATTCAGATTTCACCAGTTTTTCCACTAATGTCCTTTTTCTCTTCCAAGATCCAACCCAGAACCCCACATTGCATTTAGACAGCCTCAATTTTTAACTTAAAAAAAAAAAAAGGACATTTAAGACAAACCCAAGTTGGACCTAAATGTAAAGTTCCAGATGTTTTGTTTTTGGACAACCTCCCTTCGGATCACAAATAGCTAAAGATTATTTAGGCCCATTAATGCCTACATTTATTATCTTTTTTACGTTTCTCTCCTTGTAACTTAACGTGGATTGGAAATACATGCATATATTGTTTTCAAGGAATCAGACCAACTCAAACAGCTTTCCTATGCGATGCCACTCAAAATACTCAAAAAAGTCTTGATTTATTTTCCTTGCATATTTTCCAGGTTTTCTACAATAAATAATTTTATAATCAGAAAAAATGTTTTGTGTGCCATGCTGTACTTCTAAAAGGAAATAGGTTTTTTTCCTAATATGGATTCCAGTGGGCTCACTCATGTATCGAGTATGTGCTCCAGGCAGATGCCAGGCTCTGAAGAGGGCAGCGATGCCAACATGCATTATCTCTCCCAATCAAAGCTCAAGCTGAATCAGCTTTACAATTTGTACCAACTCAGAGAGCTGCCTAATTTGATTCTTTAATATCATTAAACTGTAGTTCAGTTTTTTCCTGAAATATCATGTTTGAAATTGATTAAATTACTGCTGTCATTTCTTTACTCCTTCCCTATATTTGAATTATATAGCTATGCCCCTGTCAAGTGACTTTTCAGCATCTGCTGTGAAAGTGCTTGGTGTATATATTTCACTGTCCCACTGATGTTTGGCTTGGTCATGTGACTTTCTTTGACCAATGAAACGTGGGTAAAAGTGACATTGTATCAGTTCCATGTTGAGGCTTAAGAGGCATCATAGGTGTCTGCTCGTGTTCTGGCCTCCTGCGACCCACCTGAGAAGATCTTGATAGAGGTTGCCACTGGCCCTTCAGACCGGACCCTGGAATTAGGACATATAGAGCAGACTGAAACCTGGCTAGAAGCTTCAGGTCTACTCTGGTCCAGCCAAGCCCAGCCCAGACCAGCTGGTCAGCAGAGTTGTGTTTGCTGTTGTAAACTATTGAGGTGTTGAGGTGTGTTTTATGTAGCAGAGCTGATTAAAGTGGACTAGACAAACACATTAACTTCTCTCAAATGAGCCCTAACCACCTGCTTTGGAGTTAGAGCAGCCCACCTGAAGCAGATGCAACTTACTTCCGGGCATCAGTTCAAAGTGGGGCCTTCCTTCTTCAGTGGACATCAGGGTAGCCAGTTTTCCTTCTATCATCTCTCCATCAATGAATTTTCCGTAAAGTGCAGTCCTCTCATCAGGGTACACATAAGCTATCTTCTCTCCAGTCATCTCCCCATCTTCATTTACTTCTCCTACAAGGCTGCCTCCATCCTAGTGGGAGAAACCAAAACCCAGAGAATATTATATATAGTGTTTATCTCCATGACATGCGTTTCAAGAAATTTCTCTTGCGTACTCCCATTGTTAATAGCACTAATATGGATCGTAATAGTTGAAGAACTCAGAACTTTTAAATGAGTGAGAAAAATATGACGCCTACCTCCCCATCCAGCCCCATATGAATAAACTTCCAGACGTTATAAGCAGAATGGCATAGAAGCCTGATTTAGAGTCAGAGATTGAGTCATAATTTATAATCCTGGACATGTTACTGATACTCTGTCTTGGTGTGTGATCTAAGAAACAAATATGTCATACTTGTAATATTACTTACAAACATTTAAAGGAAATGTAACTAAGTGTTACTTTGGGCCAATATCAGATGTGATGAGGCTCTGTAGCAAGACAGTCTTATCCACTATTCATATGATTTCACTTCTCGATGTTGTATTTTGGATTGCCCATCTGTTGGGAAAATCTTTAGTTCAAATGTGCTTAAGAATTAATTTAGTGTACACGAGTGAAGAGAGTTATCTGCATTTTCTAGGACATAAACAATAGGTCTTCTGGACACTGCCTTTCTGAGAATCCTGTACCATCACTTTTTGGGGAGTTAGAAGAAAAAGTGAAAAAAAGATCCACTGAATTCCACTCCCTTCCCCATCACTTCTTTCTTCCCAGGCTTCTTTGCTTACTGCTCCCTCCTGCCTCTTTCCAGCAGAGAAGCCAGCTGTGCTTCCTGTCTAACTGCCCTTTACTTCGGTCCTAAGGGTCATTACATGCTTTAGGGCAGAGGCTGTCATAGACTTCTGTATCCTGGTAAGCGCTAGGGACACAGAAGGTAATCCATAAATACATATTTTTTAATTTTTATACGTTTATTCGAGCCAAACTGATGATATATAGCAAGGAGCAAGATCTCAAAAGCTCCAGATCCATAAATGCTTTTTGAAGTGACCTGGAATACCAAAAAATAATCTAATACAGAATCACAACATAATCTAATCTAGACTGTAAGAGCTGTCTCCTTTTTTTCCCCCAGAGTCCTTACGGTATAACTTTGAAATTCTAAGGCCTCTGCGGGTTTGATGTAACAATCATAATGCCAGTACATCTTCTAAAAGCTTGGTTATTTCCCCAACTCAGAGGATCTAGGAGCAGCTACTCAGAGTCAGTGATGTAGGATGATTTCTCAGTGATCCCAAACGCCGCTTACTGAGAGCCGGCAGAAATGAATAACATCGGGTACATGATTACTGCAGTTCCCCGAAGTCTAATTGCTCTTTGGAGAAAAAAGGTTATAAACTAAAAAAAAACGAACCACAGCACTTCATAGAAAGAAAAACACTTGGAAGCGTTTTTCACGGACAGAAAGTGCATTAGGGATGTATTATTGCTTTCTCCTCCCCGAGTTCATTCTTAATAACCCAGCATAAATGGGCCTGACGCTTTCTGCAAGACTTGCCTTCTGGCTTCAGTGACTATTTAGCTGACGGGTGTTATAGGGCATTTGTGCTTCTTACCTGCCCAAACCAATATACGCCATCAACGACGTTTATTCTATCTTTCTAGGGTCTTACTTTTTTTTTCCCCCTTAAATGCTTTAAACTTCTGGTTTTGGGGGCAAGTGAATTTATTTGTCTAGAATAATAAAGCAGAGATTCTTCTTTTATTTCCAAAAGCGGTTATGCATTTTTAATTAAAAACTTGACATCATGGTTCCAAGGTAAATTTTGAAGAAAAAAAAAAAAAAGAAACTGTCCGTAGAGGGAACTTATAAATACTGCAGGGAGAATCGTTAGTTTTTCCCTCCCCTTGTTCCGGCTTTGACCCCATGTCACAAAAACCTCCTTGTCTGCTGTGTCAGGGAGGGTTGGGGGAGAAGCTGCTGCTCTCTCTCCTCTGCCCAGTGGCTCCTTCTCTTGAGAGGAGGACTCATTCAGTTGGTTAATGAGAAGTCAGGGTCTGATACCCACTGACACCTATTTCGCTATCGGGTTGGGGTTAAAACAGGATAAAGCTTGCCACTCCCACGTGTGCTGCCACATCTCCCGGGGCCTGGGAACTGGCAGTGCCCACAGGCACACCTGTTTACCTCTCCACTCCTGTCCTCCCCTTAGGGAAGCTCCCCCAGGTAGGCCCTACTTCCCCGGGAGAAACCTGCAGCTTTCTAGCTGCTGTGTCTGCAGCTGGTCTGGATGTTGAGAGGGGAAGGCAGAAGCCCGTATTACATCTCCAACCCAACACTGCCATAATAAAACCGACACTGTTATCCCTGACACCTATGCCTGTTTCTTCGTTGATTCTGAATCCAGAGAGCAGAGGGGTGGGATTAGCCCCCTCCACTGCCGAGAGACACCACAGAGAAGGCTAGGGTTCTCAACCACGCTAATTTGACAGTTTATCACTTCCCCACACTTTCTTCCCAAGGCAGAGTCTTCTTGTGGTGTTTAATAAGATGATAATTAATCGGGGAATCACTGCATAAACTACATAAAGGTCTAACCACTATGCTGTACACCTGAAACTAGTATAAAATAATATTGAATGTCAACTGTAACTGAACAAAATAAATATTTTAAAAAAATAAGCTCATAAGGCTAAAGGCTGAAATGTAGCTACACATTTAGGTTGCAAATTGCAACTCCACTGAGGAAGGTGGACCCATTCAGCCAGTGCATCTTTGATCTCTAGGCACTTAATTGATCATAGTCACAAGGAAAATGACAGGTAGTGGGAGAATCTGCTAAACCATATTTTGTCTCTTTCTTATGCCCATCCTCATGCAGAGTTCCACTTCTCCTGACTTCAAGAATCACTGTCCTATCAGGGGCAAGCCGTTCATCCTGCGTACTCATGAAGCAAGGAAAGCCCTGGTCTTTCTAAACTGATAAGTGCCTCTACCACTTCCTTCTTCCTGTTCCTTCTAGGCAGTAACTGAAAGGACTTCTGATCTATTGCAGATCCTACTGAGAGGATGTGCAAATGCTTTAGTAATTATTTTAAAAGTGTTTTACAACGTTCTTTGATTATGCCCTGTTCCCAGAGGATAACATTTTTTAAGAATAATAATGTATAAATAGGTCTGGTTGGGGCTACTTTTCTCGTTATACATGTAATAGGTACTTTGTTTTCATTAATACTTTTTAATCATAGGAAGATAGGGTTCAGTGTAAGAAAAAAATGTATTTTGACTGAAGCTCTAGACAAAATAAAATATTAGACAAAATATTTTCCAAGGTCGATTTTCTGAAACATTTTCTGGAAAATCACTAACAACAGATGGGATATTTGAAATGCAAACAAAAATTACAGCATTAATTCCAACTATGGTTTTTGCCACATCTTTTTGCTCTAGTAAACTCCAGACACGTCGTAAAATGTTATCAAATACTCAAAAGCCAGTTAATTTTAATCACCTTAATTTAAGCAATATAACCACCAAGCACCTTATTAAGTAGTAAGATTATAAAATCAAGTAACTACAGTGTAGTAAGTCCAAAAAGATGGGGAATTGATGGATTAGTTCTTTCATACAAGAAACAGAATAAAATTAAATGCAACGATGAAATAGTCCACCATCTCTTTCCAAAGTATATCAAGGGAATATTGTTTAAAAGTTCTGTATTTTTGTCTTCATTAGTGGTATACAATACAACCAATTGGTCTCAGTTTGTTTTAGTCATGATTTATCATCCTTTTCCAAACCAAATGAAAAGGAATTCATGGTGGAAGGACTGGCAATCTAAGTCAATGAAAGGACATAGCTCATAAACTGTTGGCTTCAGCTACTGTGACTCGACATTCACAGCTTCGTTTTCTGACATAGAAAATACATTTTACTCTTCATTGTGAAGAGTCAAAGCATTGTCTTATAACATGCTACTTTCCAACCAAATGACCAGTCGCAAGGCTTACTGGGAAATATATCCAGCACACTCCATGCCGAATGTTATCTTTATATTGTCCCTTGAAGATCAGTCTCCCATCTGTGTCGTATTCCTGAGCAGGACCATTCAGCTCTCCGTCCACATACGAGCCCTGGAGAACACCCCCGTCCTCATAAGTGTAAACCCCCTGGCCCTGCAGGGCGTCGTCCACGTAGTACCCCTCCAGGGTGCTGTGAGAGAGGGGAGAACACAGGCAGTCAGTTGTCAGGCCATGAGTCTGCTCATGTCCGAGAGCCACGGACCTGGGCTCAGTGCAGCCTCCAGAATTCTCCCAAATTGCTAGGAAGAAGACTCCTGAAATGTGGGAGGGACTATGAACATACAGGGAGGTTTCATTCCTAATCTCCTGGCTCCTATTAATGCTGGAGGAAATAGAGAAGAAAGAAGCCACAGATAGAAATGGAGAACAAGCCTCATCTGAATATGTCTCCAAGACTAGAAGCCCACCACTCCCTGGCAATAGAGATTCTGGCGTCAGCTTTCCACATATAAGCCACTCAGGCCTAATTTCCCTCAAGAGTGGTCCAGAGTCCACTGGTAGACTCAAGGGTCTTTCAGTTGGCTTGTATATAATGGTCTCTAATAATACAAATGTGGTTTAGAATGTGTAAATGCCTACGGATTTGTTTGAAATCATTAATGTACTGTCAGTGACAGCCGTAATTGGTGTGTGTGTGTTGGTGGCGGGG